GAAGATTTCATTATTTTATTGCTCTATGTTGATAACACTTTTATTGTTGATCGTAATGCTTCCAAAATTGACAAATTGAAGCAAAATTGTACAAATATTTTGCAATGAAGGATTTGGGACAAACAAAGCAAATTCTTGGCATAAAAATAGCACATGATAGAAAGGCCAAGAAGTTATGGTTACAAAAAGAGAAGTACATTAAAAGGGTGCTTCATCGGTTCAATATGGACAAAAGCTAAAATGGCAAGCACTCCTCTTGCTACACACTTTAGCTTTATTATCAAGTAAAGTCCTTCCATAGAAAGAAAAGGAAGACATGTAGAGAGTTCTTTATGCTTTAGTTATGAACTATTTGATGTATGCAATGGTATGCACAATACTTAACTTAGCATATTCTATTGGTACAGTTAGCTAGTTTCTTTCTAACCTAAGAAAAGAGCATTGGAATGCGGTGAAGTTGATTATGAGATATCTTCAGGTATTTCCAACTTGAAACTTTGTTTCAGCAATGTGAAACTTATTCTAGTTGGCTATACAGATTCTGATATGGCTAGAGATATTGACTTAAGAAAAACTATTTCAGGTTACTCGATCAGCTTTGTAGGTAGAGCTGTGGCTTAAAAATCTAGATTGCAAAAATGTGTTGCATTGTCCACTATTGAGTCATAGTTTATTATAGTGATTGAAACATGTAAAGAGTTGCTTTGGAGGAAAGGATTCATGCCAAAACTTAGTTTTTTCACAAAAGAGATATCTGTTATTTTGTGATAGCCAAAGTGCTCTTCATCTTGGTAAGAATTCAACTTTTCATGCTACACCTAAACGTTTCGATGTAAGGTATCATTGGATATAGGATGTTCTAGATGCTAAATTGCTATAGCTTAAGAAAATTCAAACTGATGATAAAGGTGCTGATATGTTAACTAAAACTTTCCCAAAATGAAGTTTGAAACTTATTGCTTGATCGTCGGAATGAAAACACCTCTACATAATCGGGAGAAGGAGATTTATTAGGCTTTCAGTCCTTTCCTATGTGGAGAAACCCATATATTTTGACCTATGACTAACTTAAGCCCAAAGAGATTTTAGTCCTTTCACTTGGGTTAAAATTTTAAGGGGTTTTAACCTTTATTTTATCTAGCGGTAACGACTGATTTTTCAGATTGAAAGAAAACACAAAACTATAAAGGAGACATAGAGAAGAAAAAGAAAGAGGGTTTTTGCATTACTTTGATCAAGTAGACGATCGAGGATCATCTGTGGTTCGATCAAGCTAATTTTTTTCCAGCAGGTAAAGGACTCACAGACGCCAATTTTGAAAGGTTGGATTGATTGTATGTGCATTGTAGCTCTGAGTCTGGTCTCCAAATAGTAGCATATGTTATTATGATTTTTCAATTTTCTCTTTTTATTTGTTGGAATCATTTGTTGATAGCTACGAAGAAAATTGTTTACTCGTAGTAGAAGTTGAGAATTGCATTTTCAGAGACTTAATTAATCATAGTTAAGTTTTTTAGTGGACTCGTAAGTCCTATGATTTTTACCGTTTGATTTGAAGGGGTTTTTCATGTAAAAATAGTTTGTATTTTATGATTGCAATTTCTTATTGATTTTGGCTAATTTATAGCTATTGAAATTTTATTATTTTTGCGCCATATTGTGATGCCAAAGTTGTTAATTTTGTTAATTATGGGATAAAAAAATTTGGGTTGTGTTATCGTAAGTTTTCGATATTTTTGGTTTCATACCAACGATATCAATTGTGTAAAATCTATACTCTATATTAAAGTGATCCCCAAAGCAAATTTATTCAACAGCTTAGCAATGCCATACAAAGAAATTGGAGGGTAAATTTGGAAAAAAAATTAAAGGTTCTCCTCTCTTTTCCTTTTTCTTTCTTCTTCTTCTCCCCTTATCAATCTGCCAGTATTCTCAAAATATTCTTGAAAGATTGGAATGGGTTTAACAGAACTGGACGGTGGCTTGGCTGGAACCACTGCTGCAGCTAGAGTGCCGATGATGCTGCAACTCAGCTTTGGTGATGGCGCTGGACATCTTGGTGCAATCGGCCGCATGGAAAGTTGATGCGTTTCATGGACAGATTTTCTGTTTGAACTTTTCCTCTTCATATTTTAGCTGTTAGTTTTTTTTTTTTTTCTTTCTATCGTTGGTATTGTCAAAGGTATTGCAACAACAAAATTTGGGTTTTGAAATTGTTTCTAACATAGTTGATTGATTTTTTATTTTTTTTAATTGTTTCTTTGTTTTTTCTCCTTTTTATTGTAAGTATTGTCAAATCAGTTAGCTTCCCATCTCTTAGAATGCAACTAGGCTTATGCATGTCTTGTGATGTATGATTTTCTTTCTATATGCTCTGCTTTTTGCTTGAATTTATGCATCTACATCCATCAACTTATTCATTGTCCTTTCTCTCCCTATCTTTGTACTCATTTTTTTCTGCTTTTCTTAATTTACTTGAAAATTTTTCAAGTTCCTACTTGAACTTTGCAATCAACACACAAAAATATTAAGCTTAATTCCACATGTTAACCATGCACGTAGTTCAAAATATGTTTGTCTTCATTGTTGTTTTGATGGAGCAGTGCATCACAAAAGCATATTAAAAAGCTTTCTGGAGAAAGTAGGAAACCAGCCATGGGGCCCTAATTAACCAAAGGTTTTATATTATCAATTTTTTTCTTTATGAATTATATGAGAAGGATATATTAATTTGCAATAGAGAGAAATGGGAAAGTGTGAGACAAGAAAAAAGGAAGAGTTATCCTTCAAATTATATCCTTTTTTTTTTCCAGGAATGCTAATGGTACTTCCATGATTTTCTAGGACAAAGTGAGAGTTTTCAAAAGATATTCTTTATGTTTCTTTCTGATGGGTAAAGTTTTTTCCAGTAAAATCTGAAACCGATATTGGAAAAGATAAAAAGGAAAACCATCACTTTAAAGTTGTTTTGTCTCTTTGTTAATTTTATGCTAACACTGAAATCTTTACCAAGATGAATGGATAACATTAAGCCTAATTTGTTCATGGTTTTCTTTTCAATTAGATGTAAAGTACCGATCATTGATAATAGTTCTGATTATAAAATCATAAATTTAAAGTTTATTTTCACCCAATATAGAATTATTTTACCAATAGCTATGTGATTCATCGATAAAATATTAAACTTTTGTTTCAATTATAATCACGCTAAAATTTCTGTCCTCTAATAAAGGTGAAGGTGATTTTCCTTTTCATTTTCATGCTATTAGTGTTATTAAAGGTCTCATTATTGGTAAACTTAGTTGAATCTGAGCCTCAGTCAAGTGTAAGGCACTTCTACGCTGGCTAATGATTGATCAATTTATATCACTGAATCATAACAGTCGTTTTATATTTTCATTTTATTTTATTTTGATAAAGTGCCGATCAAAGGCATTGTATTTGAGCTTTTGGGCATGATTTCTATCACTGCAGCCACACTCCAATAGTGTACAATGTAGCTAAAAATGTCCTTTTATAGGAGTTTCTCTTACTTATCAATTGGCCAACACGTGGGAATATGGGATGGACTTTGGATTTTATTTTATTTTTTTCTTCAGGATTTAACTCTTTAACTTTAGCATTCATATTTATTTTTGTGATCTTTTTTTTTTTCTTTTTTTGTAATTTGTGGTTCACAATAAGTTATTAATATAGACTTCACCATTAGTCATATGCTGAAGAATACTTGCCAAAAACGTTGAAGTTCAAGTATGGTTATTTTTTATTTAACTTTGGTTAGATCCCTGTGTTTATTCTTTCCTAGCTTGCTATACAATTTAAACAACTCCAAATTCTGCATAAATTAGAAATTATCCACAGCATTTGCATGTGTAGAAAGCTATATTATATATATTCAACCAATTGTACAGCTTATGGTTTGGTGGATCATGTGCGTTTTAACAAAAATATATACTAAAATGAATGCTTTGAAGATACCTAGATCTTTTTATCAGTTTTGCGGAGAACTGAGCCAAGGAAAAATAATCCTGAAATCCATATTTAGCTTAGGTGGAAGATTTTCTTGCATAATTTTTAAATGCAAGAAGCCTCCAAGAATTGGATGATTAAACTGATGGAGTGTTGGATTAGTGTATATTTTTTACTCTACAGAATCAGATCTTAAGTATATATTAATTGTAAAAAACAATGGGAGCTCATGTAAGAAATATGTAAGAAATATACTTAGGTTAAACATACTTAGACCGAATAGAATTAGATGAATTCAACAAGGTTTGATGTGGATAATATTTTCTTGCTTATTAGAGGTTTTTTTTTTTTTTAATTTAAGTTAAATTCAATTGATTTTTTGAGTTGGTCAAATGATTTAAGTTGATATTCGTATAATTTTGTTGAACTTTGTATATGTAAATTGTAGGTCTCATCAAAGTTACATGCTTGGAGCAAGGGTCATATTATTAAGACTAGCAATAAATAGGCATTTTTTAATATATTGATGAAACCTACCATCTGTTTCATTTTTTTTTTTTGTTGCTATAACTTTGATAAAAATATCTCAAAACCATACTTTACATTGCATTTCTAAATTGTGTTCAAATTATTTTTTAATTTTTAATTATAAAATAATAAAATTTTCAATTTGTGAAAGTGTTGCTAATAAAATATTTGCAAACACTAATATTAATATATATTATTACATTATTTTATATTTATATTAATTTATATTTATTCATTTAATAATAACAGTAAAATTTTAACATAAAATATAAAAACTTTTTAAAACTCCGTAAAGTTCATATAAAAACAAAATATGCACAGGAGGAGCATATTAAAAAGTAAAGTAGAATACTAGATTTTTCTTTGGGCCGATTAAATAGTGGTTGTGGACTAGATTAAGAATTGTGAAATGAGGCCTTGCTGCACCTCACATCTTATGGGTGGGCCATCGAGCAAACTTAACCCAAGTCAAGAAACCAAAACCACAAGCACTCTCTCACTTGCCCAGCTCTAAATAATCTTGTTCACTCCGCTTCACCAGGCTCCAGGGTTTCTGCTTCACTGTCCTCCTTTCTCCGCCCGCCACACTCAAAGGTTCTTCCCCCTCTTTCTATGCTGAAAATACTACGTTTTCTAAATTCAATACTTACTTTATTTTTATGATGAAGGTTTATAGTCTTAATCTAATGTAGTTTTATCTTGCTATGCTACTTTTTTTTTTTTTTACTTTTTTTGCTTTCTGAAAATTATTGGCTCAAAAGATTAATAATTTTTGAGCCAATAAAATGGTACGGCCTTATGCTTTAAAAGGGAAGAAGCGGAAGAAGAGAGAGGAGAAATATGATAGAGAAGAAGAAGAAGAAGAAGTGGAAGAGAAAGAATCAGCAAAACGAGCTTCTATTGAAAAGCCAACAAAGGAAGCCGAAGCCGGTGCAGATGAACTTGTTGGAATCCCAATTTCCCCCGGTGATCAAATAACCAACAAACATGGGGTCATTTTTGTTCTTGAGAAGGCTTCTTTGGAAGTTGCTAAAGTTGGAAAGGTATCTGGAAGTTGTATTTGTATATATTGTTGTGCTTAACATTTCTATTATCAGTTTCAAGTCCTGAACTTTTATATATATATATATATATATATATATATGTATGTATGTATGTATGTTCTAAATTACAGAGTTACCAACTCTTGAACTCGGATGATCATGCCAATTTCTTGCGAAAAAATCACAAGAATCCTGCTGATTACAGACCTGACATTGTTCATCAGGTCATTTTCCTTTATTTTCTTTTTGTATTTTTTCTGCTGTTATATTTCTTTTGTTAAAACTATGATAAAAGAATTGCTACTGCCATTATCGGTGATTCGAGAGAAGGCTTGGTGTAAAAATCTTAATGGAAGATTTAACTTCTCTCGCTTACTGCCAAATGTGCTGTTTGGCACAGGCTCTTCTAGCGATTTTAGATAGCCCGGTCAATAAGGCTGGGAGATTGCAAGCCGTGTATGTTAGAACCGAGAAAGGTGTACTTTTTGAAGTTAAACCCCATGTTCGAATTCCAAGAACGTATAAGCGGTTCTCTGGTATCATGTGTAAGTTAATCATGCTGAGATTATGTCTCTTTCACTGCATTTTAAAACTTTTACATGGGTATTTCTTAATTGGCCTATTCTCAACAATCATGTAGTGCAGCTGTTACAAAAACTATATATAACTGCTGTTGGTAAGCGCCAGAAACTTTTACAGGTGATAAAGAATCCTGTAACCAAACATTTTCCTGTCAACTCTCGCAAAATTGGTGCGTTTGACTTTTGTTATTGTTTCTCCTGTATTTGGTCAATACAAACCTGTTGTTTCCAGAACTCAAGTTATTTTTCTTGCACATCAGGTTTCTCGTATAGCTCAGAGAAATTGGTTAAAATGAGAAAATATGTTGATACTGTTGGTGATGATGTGAACCTTGTTTTTGGGGTAAGTCCTGTGTGATATAGAATTCTTTTCTTTCTCTTCTCTATTTATAATTGCTTCCTTATCCTATCTCGCTGCATTTTTTTCAGGTGGGCGCAATGGCCCATGGGAAAATAGAGACAGAATATACCGATGATTGTATAGCAAGTAAGTTCCACATCCTGCATGTGTGTTTTTGTTAGATTGTATTGTGGAAATTTTAAGGATGCTGATTCATAAGCCTTTAATCTCCTAAGAACCATGGAATCAAGCAGAAATATGCTGGGAGTAACTGTAAGCTAAGGCAATAGGACTAGATCAAAGATAAAATAACAGTAGAAGATGAAGGATATACTCACTGATAAGCCTGTAGAGGAAACACAAGTAGGTGTTTGCACAGTAGATCCTTTTTACCCCTAGGTGGTGTGGGGTTGGATTGTTGGAGATGGGTACTCAGACTTATGACAAGATTCAAGACTATCACACTTTACAAGCATGTGATTTTAATTCCTATCATTCCTTATGCTATAGGCAGAACATGCTTAAGGGAACAAGACTTGCATCATTGTTTCAAATGATATATCTTTTCTTTCCTGTAAAAGGAAGAATATCTCAGCGTTGAGGTTCAAAGTATGGGTATCTCCCTGTGTGCATTTATGCATGTGTGTGCATATCACATATGCTTGTTCTTGGATTCAGATATTTTCTTGTCAGTGATCGTGTTGATCTAGGCTGAACAATATCCTGCTGTTTAAACATAATTAGTTATCGTTTTTTTTTTTTAAATTTCGCCCACTTCTTGCAGTTTCAGGTTATCCACTAAGTGCAGCTATGTGCATTGCAAGGATTACCGAAGCTTTGGCAGATAAATGGAATATATTGTAAACCCTTTAACACTTGTATGTCTCTGTCTCAATAATATTGTGACACCCAGAAATTTTTGGGGATAAATATTAGTGTTAAATTATTCATTATGTAGTACATTTGACTAAAATACAGTAGTTTGCTGGAATATAAGTTTTTGATTTAGGTAATATGGAAGCTTTATCAATATGATTGCTTCTATACATTTTTTGATTGACCCGACGGTGAAGAGAATATGGAATTTTTTTTTTTTTTTGGGATACTTGAGGATATCGGGATATGAACTCTAAAAAGTTTTATGATGGTATGTGCGTAGAATGTAAAGAGGTATGTGATAAAAGTGTTTGTATTGTATGCAAAAGTTAAGGGCTTTTTTTAAAATATATTTTTGTTACTTATATCATATCTGATTTTAAATGGAAAAATAGTTGAAAGGTGGTACCAATTATAAATAATTTTGTTATCTAAATAAACTATATATTTGTGAATAATCTTTCAAAAATTTATTTATTTTTCTATGTATTTCTTTTTAATTCGGAATGTTAACGGGTACGATATTCATTAATTTTAAGATACCTTAATTATTTATCAAAATTTTGATTTTTTTTTAATATTTGCTATTCGAATCTTATTCATATAATAGAGAGAATATTATTAATTATTTAAACTCGTTAAATATTTGGTTATTAAATCAAGGTTTATTTTAAACTCAAATATAAAATTGATTTTAATGCATATTATTAAAAAAATTAAATAATTAAATAAAATTAACTCATAAAAAAAATAAAAGTTAAAATTTATAATTAAAACACTTAATGAATTTATTAAGTATTACATTAATGATAAACAATATATAAATAAAAATATATAAATTTTTAAAAATAATTATTTACAATCAAATTTTGAGTAGTTGGTATTCAAAGATCATTATCCACTCTTAGTTTGAACCAATGATAAATAATAAATTTATTATTCAAACTCGATTATAAAACATTCTAATCCTATTTAATCAGATTGTGTAGTAATGGGTATTGCCATTCTAATTTTTAATTTTTTCTTTCGAAAGAAAAATTCTAATAATAAAATCATTAACTAGAGCTTTTCATTGGGTTAAGGTAAGCTTTATTGCTACCTTTATAAATTTCTAGCTCAGGTTAGACTTTGGGTTGTCCATAAATCCATTCAAATCCGTTTATGTTGATGGTATTTTGAGTGTTGGTGAGTTAGATGATAATATGAGATTGAGATGGGAATGATTTGTAGTTGTAACAAAAAAAATACGATTAAGAGTGTCGGAGTTATTTTTTAAGATGCATTTCAACAATTCACATCAGTCAAATGTCTAGGATTTTTAGGAGGAAGAAAGTAAAGAAAATATGAAGGAAGCTTTGGGAAGAAGGATTCAAGATATCATACTTGTGACCTTTTTTTAATATTATATATGAGATAATGAGCAATGAAATGATAAGAGTTTTTGACAGTCGATGAAAAATTTACTTAGAGCTCAAAAAAAGATCATATCGTTAAATGTGGATTGTATTTAATAATCATGGTTAATGTGGATTGCATCTAATATTTTAAGTAAATTAGAAATTAATTGATCTATTATAAGGTGTTTATTAGACGTTAGTGTTAGTAGTTGGATGAGCCTTTCCTAAATATGAAGAGACGAGATGAGTTTGTGTTGTGTGAGGAGTGTGGATATTAATCCTCTTTAGTGGTAATGTGATAATCATATGTACACTGACTTGATGAGGGTGGAGTTGATTTTGCTAATTGAGTATGTTGGTATAACAATTAAAATATTAATTTTTATATTAATATTTATTTTTAATATATTTTTAACTTTATTTTATAATATAGTTAAAGTTAAAATTAAGTAAAAAGTTTTTATTTATAAAACAATGTTTTTTGATCAGTCCTGAATTTAAAAACTTTTGTCCGAGATTTTGCCTGAGTGAGGCTTGGCTCCCGGGTCTAGCAGGCCGTTTCAGCCAATGAACATATGTAATACTAACCAAATGAAGTCAAACTTAAGAAAAAGGGTTAATATGTAGAATAGCCCTTATACTATTTGTCTTCCATCAGTTTAATATCTAATAATATAAAATTTTCATTTTGATATTTTAACTTTTATTTTGTCAAATATTTTGATACATTACACTATTTTAATCAGTTAAGTGATTAATGTGGTATGAATATGGAATAAAATTATGTCATGTATAAAAAAATTCAATTATCACTAAATGAATTATTATCACGTGAGCAAAACATTTTAAAAACAAAAAAATATGATTTTTTTTAAATAAAAAAATGACAAAAAATAAATGATGCGGTGATAATTAGATATTTATGTCGTATGTCATAATTTTATTGGATAATAATATCATACAAGCAACTTGACTAATAGTATTAATTTGAAGTATCGAAGTATTTGACAAGATGAAAGTTTGGATATAAAAATAAAAATTTTATTTTTTAAGTAATAAATTGATAAAAAATATATAATACGGGAATATTTTTTATTTAACTCAAAAAAATGTTGAAGTACTTTTGTTATTAAAACTCTTTAACAGATATATTTGCAAAAATACTTTTAAGAGACTTCACTTAAATTTTATGGATCATCTAAAAAATGGATAAAGAAAATTGTAGAAGGGGCATTTCTTTTTAATTGAAATTGTCTAGTGTTTAATTTAAAAAATATAGGCAAAAACATTTATTTTAAGGCATGAAAACATAATGAAAAATATGCCTAAGATTTTTAGGGATCTCTTATCATTCTTTGCGCGTGCAAGTTCATGTCATTTTTATGACTAATATGTTAGTTGAAATATTTTTTTATTTAATTTAATTTTAGTTTCTTAAATTAATTAAGAAATCTTATTTTATTAATTTTAATAATTCTCATCAATACAATGTAACTGACCTCCGTAGAAAAAAATAATTATAAATAAGTTTTTTTTTTTCATTGTAATTGTTACCAATAAGTTTTTTCATCATGCCATATTCCTCATTTCATAATTTTCATTGTCATATCTAACTTATTACAATAATTCATCATTTTCTTTGACTGATTTTTTTTCTTTGAAACAAAATAATTCTAAAACAATTTAAAAAACATATCGGCCAAATTCTTGAGTCAACAAACTTTTGAAATTGCTTAAAAGTTTTTCTCTCAATAAAGAATGATAAATCTTTTATTGAGCATCCAATAGAATTTATTTAACATGTATATAATCCAACTAGATCTGTCCACAACTTTGTAGCTACTTTATAGCACAAATTTATACATTTCTTTCATTGGGATACCCTTTCATCTTTATCAAGTTATAAGTTATAACCTTCCAAAGAAAAAAAAATTAAAATTTATATCCTATACAAACCTATAAAAGGCATGTTAATTGATCCAATCCATAAATGGCCATCTTTCTCTTGCACTTCACTCATGGACCTCATTGTCTTTCCACTTTTATGTTCTAACGTTTCTAAAATTTCACCATCCTCACTGAGCCTCATTGCCAATCCTGCCCCCTTACACTTGGACCAAACCGAATAAGCTTTCATAATGTCAATGGGCAGAAGTTTAATCAAAGCATTGCCTACTTGTGGATAGGAAAGAATCCATGATATAATCATATGTCTTCGTGAATGCATGGCCACTCAAACCCCTCCTCTTGGGCTTCTTTTGATATTGTCAGGGAATCCTGGGAGTTGTGCGAAAGTTTCAAGAGTTGCAGCTTTTGATGTTGTTAACCAGTTCCTTATGATTCTACAATTGGTGGTTTCGGCGAAGAGAAGAAAACTGCCATCTTTGCCTAATGCCACTCCATTGGGGAATGAAAGATTGGTTAAAAGAATAGTCACTTGTTTGCTTTCCTGCTCATATTTCATCAGCCTTCCCGTTTTATCCCCGGTTAGTATCAGAGGGATATAATTCCTGTAAAATTTATTAAAAATATATAAAAAAATTAAAATGTTAATAAAAATATTAATGAAAATAATAGTTTTACCCCGACAAAAGTAAATTTTTTTATGAAAATAATAGTTTTTGCCCGGTTTAAATGTATCAAATTAATTTAAATTTTAGCAATAGAGTTTTGAGATGTACCTCCTTTGATAAAGAGAACTGCTGTCACTGAAAAAAATGGATCCATCGGATTGGTTGATGTCCAAGTCATTGATGAATTTGAAAGGACTGCCTTGAGCATGTGTCGCTATCCTAGTGGCCAAGCCGCCTCCAGGACCAACTTTTAGTAGCGCCATGTATGCATCAGCAATTTAAAGATCACCTGTCGCCTCGCTGAAGCAGATGCCTAATGGGCGCCCACAATTCTGCTCTGTTTCACGATGATCATGTTGCCCTTGACACCCTTGTCTGCTCAAAGCAGCCACTTATGTCATGACTTATATATATTCTGTCTATTTCTATGAATAAATTGTCAATACATGATTCACAATTGTGAGTTTTATTATTATTATTTTTTTGTTAAACAATTGTTAGTTTTAATTCGTTTTGCCTTGCTTGGAAGATCATTTACTTTGAAACTTGTTGGTTTTAATTGGTTGAGTACTAATTTCATTTTATTTTAAAACTTAAATGTTACACTTTTAAATATTACTAACTAATTTTCTTTATATCTCATTTTTTAGAATATGTATAATGATCTTATACTTGCCATGCCATCATATTCATGCCAAGATTGGACTTGATATTGTCTATTAATTTTTCTTATGTTTATCATTTGTGTGTTTGGAATCTACAATTAAAATTATAATGGATATGTAAAGATGATGAAGTATATTTTGTAAAGTAATGGATAAAAAACGAATTGATAACTTAATTTGATTGGTTAATATAATTATTTTTAGAAAAATAATATTTAATAAATTTAATATTTAAATTATAACTTGTTCTATCTTCCTCTTTTATAAAAAAAAAAAAAAAAATTGTCATAGTTTAAGTTGTAGGGAGTGTTTTTTGTAGTGTTGTGGGGTTAAAGGAGCTGTGGATGTTTTGAGTGTGGGACCTAATTATAGATAAATCAAAAGCTAGGAGGGCGAAGACTAATCCAAGCCACACAAACCTGGCGAAGGCATCTTCAACCCTATTCACGCGACCTAAAAATTGAAAAATGTGATTCCCAATCACTTTTTTCTTTTTTTTTTAACAAAGGATGGGTTTAGTCAATAAGAAAAGAAAGAAAATCTTGCTTCGAAAGAAGGCCTTTATTATCTTCTTTTATATCTTCTCAAGAGCTCCTTAATTACTAGATCAAGGAGTTGAGAACAACTTCCAATCACTTAGGTTGGTAGTAAACTTTTACAAGATTTCTTGATAATTTCTTGTTGGTATATGGGCTAG